CAACCCTATTGTTTTGGCAGATCTGCTGTTTCAACTGGAATTCAACAACAGGATCATCCATCATTCCATCCATGCGTTCCCTCCTGTCGCACAGGGATTTTACTGCAGACCAACAATATGGGCTCCAGCTAGCAACCTGTCTGAGACACTAAACTCGCTGGGATAGTGACAAGAGGCTGTCATTTCAGTTTATCCTTCAAGCTAGTCTGGATTACACACTTGGCAATATTGAACTTGAATTAGATGGTGTCCCAACAGCCCTCATGCAAGTTTGCGATATCCATGACAATCTGAGCAATTGCAACCACCAGATTTGTTGCACATAAAAGCAGGTTTCCCCAGAACAGAAGTACTGTCCTGATCATCAACAAAAACAATTCAAATACTTGAGATATTACTACACAGGCAAAAAGAAGAAAAACCACTCTAAATCTTAAGCAGACCTTTTCTTAGAGACCAGTCCAGCCTTCATAACCTTGTTCTTTGATCAGACCTACTGATAGTCAGCACTGGAGAAACAGCACGCTACCATCTTGGGTAGCTGCAGAATTAGCTTCTAAGTCTCTAAACAGACTGCAATCCTTATGCCATACGTTCAGAATGAAAGTACATTTAGCATAATGGGAAAAGTATTCAAGACTGTTATACTCAGCAGGTACAGCAAGAAGATAAAACAAAGGGATTGGAAAACTACAAAACAAGTTCTCCTCCCCCCAACATCCTGCCTCAGGCATTAAAAAGACAAAAATGAATCAAGCGTATAAAGTTGACATGAGGCACCACAGAGTAAATGGATTACACTAAAAGTGTCAAGGGATATGCGTGTTTAAAATGGTGGCTTCCAGATCTCTTTCTCACATCATTGCACCTGTATCATCTAGTATGCTGTCATCATAATAACACAGAGAAGAAAAATTTCTTTTCCTGAAGTATGTTTATGTAAAAAAAAAAAAAAAAACTCAGACATTGCAACTTTCTCCATAAATACACTGCTTAGTCAGCAACATCATGTGCCCCTCCCCAGCACTGCTTCATTCATACTTCCATTTCGAGTTTCCTCTTCTAACAGAGTCAATCACTATTTGTTACACAACAGAACACCACATTAGGAGAGGTCTTCAATCTTTCCGTGAATAACAAGTCCCAGCAAAACATCAACTACAATGATACCTTCTATTTACATAGAAAAGTAGTTTCCATTTATATACTACATTTCTCTCACAACTACTTCTAATTTCATAACATGACAAGTTTACATATTTTATAGAAATTGCTCTGCATCATTAGCTTGCCAAGAATTTCATTTCATCAGGGTATCCAAGACTAAGGACATGTCAAAATGGAAAAGTTAATCAACATACAGAGCTTTCAGAGTGATACCCAACTCCCTGAAAATATTTTGCATGGAATTATGACATGCACTACCACAGAAAAACTGTTCAATTGAGTAGACTGTTCCCTACCAATTTAGCACGCAAGAATAAAAAAATATAACCAAAAGTGATTGCAGTAGCACAGAATAATGTAAGTCAAACCTACAACGTTATTATGCTGACAAACATTATGATTATTATATAAATTAGAAAAAAGAAATTCATAATTGCTTACTGTTTGCTAGATCAACATGTTGAGTATCATGTTTACTTGAAAACATAAGGCTATTTCTTCTCTTCTGTTACTTTTTGATTTACAGAGAGCCTCCTATTCTTTGAAAGCTAGCCAGGCAGCAATATGTACCAGTGAGCAAGAAAAGTCAAACTCTAAGCACACTATAATTAAATTAAGCAACAGAAACATTTTGTGAAGTTTCCTGGTGGGATAATGAACTTTGTAGAGAGTACAAATAACAGAGGGAGAGCAAACTCTGCAATCGCTGAACCTGCTCCTGGATTAAATTTCTGAAAACATACTTATACATTATACCTGAGCATACACAACAAGCAAAGAAATGAACTCTTAATATCTTCACAGGTGGCATGAGTCTGCCTTTACACATTGATCCTTTCAGACTTCAACCACCTGTAAGAGTGTCATTTCATTTTCTCACATCGCAGTAAATTCTAAAATGAAAATAAATAGCCTTGCAGAAACATATGCTGCTACACAGCACAGAACTTGGAACAAAAGCCTTTGTGTTAAAAAAAAAGTTGCAGGCAAAGGAGGGAAATGACTGATGGTGAGCATGAACCAGCAGCTGACTTCTGTCTAACACATAAAGAAGAGATAACTGGACTGTTGATGGCACAGGGTCTCAAAATCCATGCTTCTGCAGAAAGTGTGCCAAAGCTGTAGTGTGCTCTTGGCAATTAAAACTGCTTGTGAGCATGAACTATGCAAGTAACAATTGCTACATAGCCTGGAAGTGCATTAGCCCTAGATTTCCATTCTTCTGCATCAGGTATAATCCAAAGAAAACGAGCATATATAATTGTGTGCACACACATGCATGTACATCTGAGAGAATTGTCCCAACCACATTGACTGCAATTAAGTATCTAAGGTCCTTCAGCTACTGAAAATTAATGAAGTTTTTACATGGTTTTTTTTAATGTTTCAGCAAAAATTAGTGGTGCAGTCACTTGGACAGGAAAACCAGCTTAAAAGCTTTCAGCTGCTCTCACTCTGCCACAGCATGCCACTCCTCAGGAAGAAAAGGAATGGGGAGACGCTTGCTTGTGCACCCCACAAAGATACAGCAGTTTCAATTTCTAGCACTATACAGCTGTGCTTTTGGGGGTTACAGCTTTCCATGCAACAGCTCCCACTACCGTGGAACTGTATGTTGCTGGATACCAGACTGCTTCAAGCCCACGAGATGTCTCCAAACTGCTAGACAGCAGTGAGGTACCCTGAAGGAATGGAGAAAGAAGCTCTACTAAAAAGTAGAATGAGAAGCTCGGTGTCATAGCTAAAGTCTCAAAAGTACAAATAAAACCCTCTCTTTCTAAAGAGCTATAACCACTAAAGCATATTTCCGAAGGGACTTGGGATTCAACCGAGGACTCCCCTTATCTACAATTCTGTCCCACTACGAAACATCTATGAAACTCATTTACAGAGTGGAATGTCTCCCTCCTTTAGTGATTTGTCATTGCAACACATTAATACTACTGGTTACTTCTTATCTTAGGTGATGAAAAGTTAAAAAACAATAAATACCACCAACTAGAGATTAGTAAGATTCCACAAAAGAGAATTTATTTCTCTATTTTCTCCCACGTAACATAAAACAGTTTTATGTTAGATGCGTGTGAAACTTTAATCCCATTTCGTTGAAACTGTGATTCATGATTACATTCTCATACTGTCCCCCTCCCATCACTACTGCTTTTACATGAATGATTACTCACTCTTCCTGTTTGCTCTTTTTCACATCTCATCTGCACTACCTACTCCTAAAAGCAGGCACAGTGAACACTGAACACTTTACACATGGGTCTGCTCGTTTGTCTTTATCCTTGAAGGACAAAGAAGGATATCCCTTTGTAAGGGAAGGAAGTTTACATTATTATAGGTTCAATTGCAGAAAATCAAATGAAAAATAAACAAACCTTTAACAATTAGCAGTTTATTAACCCAATAAAGTACCAATGCTATCTCTTTGGACATTCTTCCAAAGTGTTTTTTGACATAAAAAACTTCCATTAAGCAGCATGGAAATCCCATTCCCCATGTGCATATTAACTCCAACCTCTCTCACTGTTATAATAGCAATGAAATAATTCAGAGACTTGCAGGCTCTAAACAACCAAGATGAAGACACATGAACTGTGTCCAAGTTCAGATTTTCCTTTCATCACTGACAGTTCTTATTTGATTCTGGTAACGTGCCATTTTAGCTTACTGTTCAACAGACATTCCAGCCATCATTACCAACTTAGCCGGTTCTGTTCTCATTCTCCATTTACCAAAGCTGTCCTTGTTCACCTGACCTGGTGGCCACTATGAATAGCTTCCAACTTTTGTTTTCCGTTGGCAAGTAACAATTCCAGTTACACCTCCTTTTTTAGCTCAAATCTCAACTATTTCCTCATTTGTTTTCTCTTTTATCATATTCTTTTTCCATATTGTCAGGACCTCTAGTATCTCACACACCATCTGTCAAATCTAATTCCCAGAGGCAGTTCCTTTTAAGGCTGTAGTACCTTTAACCACTCAGTCAGTTACATCTTTAGATGCTCACTGCCAAATCGTTACCTTTTTCATCAGTTCTTCTCCCTAGTCTTCTCATTTAATTGATAGTACCAGCCTCTATCAAGTATATTTTGCTGAGCTCATCAAGTTTCCAGGTTCTGAATAGCTTTCTGTGACACTTCAGTGATCACTACACTGATTTTCTTCTGTCTTCGTTTCCTGTTCCAATGCTAAAACTGATCTCTCTGATGAGTCACAGCTTGCTAGCCAAATCTTGATGTTACAGTACTGTTTTAGCTGTTGATAAATTCTGCATGGAAAAGCACTATACGGTCAAGACCTATTTTTTGTATGGTATTTTCCTTGGCCTTTTCTACTGTAGGCTTTTTTCCTCAAATCAGGAAATCTAGAGTATACATTAAATTTTAAGCCAAATCTTCAGGCGACAATGTGACAGCTGAGAAATCATCATAAAGTGAGGATAAAGAGGTTTATAATTAGATAGATGTGTCTACATTTCTGAGAAAGATATGGAGCCAAGGTTTTGTCATCTTCAGTACATAGGATAGTCTTCAGGGAAAGACAAAAAGATTGATTATGGCCTATTAGAAAGAGAAGTTGCAAAAAGTTTTGTGGGAAGCAGTGATTAGAATAAGATAACCCTGCAGCATTTGAAAGATGAAAAATAATGTTATGGTTAGAGTAACAGTAGGCCCTTATATGTCAATCAGCAAAAAAGAAGAGCTCCAGCTTTAGTCTGTGACAAGCTTCTATAGCATTAAACTTCTGTGCTAACAATTATATGTACTTCACTGCTATTATTTTTCATCTTTAAATATTTAAACTGTGAGGTTTTGTAGACTTACTTCAAGTCAGCCGCTATCAAGTTAAATCCATTGTAAAGATGTCCTTCTACTGAAACGTTCTTCAAGTAAGAATAGCTGTCCAGATCTGAAGTCAGGAAGTTTGCTACAAGAGCACCTAAGAAAGAAGTACATAGAGCAACTTGGACATGTGAACTCACTACTGTGGCAGGCTTGGTGAAATAAACAGTAATACATAAGATTCCTGCTACCAATGGAACCTAATATCCCTGAAAAATAACCTTTAAAAACCTTAAGGTTTTGTATCATGTTCAAATTAGGAACTTTGATTTTTATTTGAGGAAGAACTCAGTCGTACAGAAGCTACATTTATCAACTATTCTTCACTTCATGTGCCCTTCCTCTCCTCCCACCCTGACAAACTTCCTCTTTTCCGTTTTGCCTCAATTCCCTGATACAGGACCCTACAATGAAATAGAAATGACATGGTTCTTTTTTTTCCTGTATCTCATGTTTTTCCACTGCAATATATTCTCACGTGACAACAACAAATAGACCCATTTTTACTTTAAAAACAGATGTGCTCTTTCAGAAGTGTTTTTCTTCTATTTCTGCTACTTTGATTCATCACTGCATAAGCTAGAAGAGACTACTATCACCTTTTAGCCTAATTTTCAGCATAACCCATGTAGCACTGTTTCCCTTAGCTCTTGTTTGAACAAGAACATACACACTTTAAAAAGAGTCTAGCATAATCTAAAAAAGTGAAGAAAAACTAACTTAACCCTCGTCCAGTTGTTCTGAGTATTAATTAGAATCAACATTCAGAAAAAAATGGTTGATGCTTCATTTCTTGTCTGGATGTAACCAACTTAAGGTTTAGGCACTACATTTTGTTTTACTTTTGCCTGTTTCATTTGACATTATCCAAGTCAAGCTCCTCACACAGGTACTCAGACTGATCAGTTAACATCATGTTGTGGTCTAATAAAATTCTTTAAAATTTATATTAATATTGTAATCAGCATTTTATTATATTGGGACACCAGGACTCGTCTGTGTGCTTCCCTTTTCCCATTTCCAGTCCTTCATACCTCTCCCTTTTGCATTTTTGTCAATCTTTGGCTGCATATAGTTGGTCAGGGCTGCCATCTTGCCTTTCTTACTGATTCCTAGCCATGTCCCACCTTCTTTTCCTTCCTCCATATCCAGACCTAGTGGAATAAACAAAAGTTAAGCCATTTCATTCATTTTCAAAAATCTTAAGTTCAAGTCACTATTCAATTTCTTAATGAAGCCTAACGTCTTGATGGGATTGGGGAAAAAAAAAATCAATACGTACAAGATTGTTTAGACAAGTACAAATAAAGTAAGCAAAAACATCCACCTCCAATTCTGCACTAATGCTTTCAAAGTTACTGCAATAACAGATGAGAAAGAACGAGCAATTCAATTTAAAAATAAGATGTGTCGATATGCTAAAATACATGTAAATTTTAGGGAGGCTCAGAATATATGTTAATTCAAGGGCAAATACCTGAGGAGATTAATGATTATTCCAAAGTTTAATATTTCTGGAAACTACAACTAACCAGAACAATTTACAGTGAATTAGGTAATTAATAAAAATCTTGGACTCAGGTAACAGTAATTACAAAAAAAAAAAAAATAAATCAAAAACACTATTGTATCAGAGTATAAATTTAAAAAACCATCACATATTTGCAGTGAGCTCACGTTAAACACCAAGCATTTAATGGAAAAGGAGATGTGTTTCTATAGAAATATGCATACTGTTACAAACCTTTTAATTTTATATCATAATGTCGTAAGATAGCTTTCATTAAAAAAAGCTTTGCAATTCTTATTCAGAAGCCTTCTTCAGTATCTAAAACCTCAATATCAAGTTTAATCATGTCAGATCTTTAAAGAACATTTCACTACTGTTATCTACCTTAACTGTGGGGCACACAAAAGAAAATATACACAGCTACATTGGCTAGCGTCCAAAGACTAACAGAGCAATTCCTGTTTTGCCATATTGTTGCAAGAACAAACAAAAAATTTCAATGTTAAGTCAAAGAATAATTTTATCTGAATTACTTGAGATAACGTTATCTCAAGGGGGTGTACTAAAGAGATCTTCACAGATAAACCCCTGAACAGAGAATACACCACTTTGCATCACATACAGCCAAAACCAACAGGGGCATTAAAGACAAGTTTAAGGTGACTTCAGGGTAGTTCTGGTTTGTTTTTAAACCCACTGCGTAACAGGGGAAGCAGTATCCAGACTGTCTGGCAGGAATCTGGAACATCAGCCAGAATTTCAGGAGCAAGGAAGCTTCTGCTCAGCACAGTGGGAATAATTTATCCTTACAGGCCTCCCTGCCAATGACAGTAACACACAGCCTTTGCAAAGTCAGAATCTAGTATTTAAACAACACACTGTCTTCCAGAGCTTTATTTTTGTTTCTGAGAAAAGTAAAAAATATTAGTTATACTTAAAAGTGAGCATATAGATAAAGATAAGATTCTCTACTAGAGAGGACCAGAAAATTGGGGCAACTGTCAATTGAGGAACATGCAGATAGAAAGCTAATAACCTGGCAGATCAATAACTAGAGCTATTCTGTAGCCTATAAATTACTAATTGATAAGGACAATGAGAAAAAATTCACTTTCAGGAGGCTCATTTTAACAATTTCAAGTCACTAAGGACAATAAGCGGGCAGAATAACTAATTCTTTCTTTCTTAGAAAGTGTTTCACTGCACCTAAAAAAAGGTGAAGCAACTGGCTGCGATGGACTATTTAATACACTTCCATTGCACTGCTTGGACTGAAGCGAGTTAAAGAACATCAAACTGAAAAAATATTCAAGAAATTCCTTTGTATCTACCTCCCTGGAACAAACTAACTATGTCATACTTTTGCCAAATAACTTCAAGGATTTTTTTTTTTCAAGATGTTAAAGCAAAAACATCACGGCAACACAATTCATCCTCCAAATTTCATGAAATGTTTTCCCCAGAAGTACAAGGAAGAGCCATATTTTTTATGGCCTGTGTTTTTGCATTTCTAACAATTCCTTCATAAAGCAAATGAAAACTAGTCAAAACAAAAGTTACAAAACAGCTACATACCACTAAGGATTTCATTGCTGCTGTCCCAAAAATCTGCTGATTTAGATGGTCTGTGGTAAAATTCATCTCTATTAGCTGCTAGAATAAGCCTGCAAAATACAAGAAAAAAAGATACTATGACATACAAGCAGCCACTCCACAGCTGAGGCAGGAACAGAATCCAATTCTCGAAGTAGCATTATTTCATTTTAAGTATGAAACTGTCCTTTCTCCTACCATCTAACCTTTATCACTCAGTGCAGAAACTGAATGACAGTTGACAATAACTTTTTCTTTCAGTATCTTGATCCATTCAGCAAGTCTATCTTGTCACATATATGAGGCAGCTGTTCTTTTCAAAGAATAGGATGCATATAAAGCAAGAGGATTGCATAGGCAATCTTAATTGAGATTCTTCAGCATGCGAAGTCACAGCTTAATTAAAAGATTATTTAAAGCTAACTTGTAGTTCATGGGTAACTTATGAAAAAAAATCTGAAGCATCCAAATAATTTTTTTTTTTAATCAGGTCATTACTTAGGACCACATAGCCACAGCATTTTTGAATCTTTAACTTGGACACCTAAAGCTCTATTTATATGACTCAAAAATAAGACTGATGTTTTTTGCTCTATGTACCCAGAAGAGAGATGAATTTGTGAATCTGTCTCCAAGGTCTAGCCTCACTGATATGCATTTGATTGATACAGGAAAGACAGCATACAAGGCGGCAAAGAAGTGATGGGAAAAGGCAGAGTTTTATTTGGTACCGGTCAAGAGGGATTTTGGTGGGGGAAGTTTGTTGGCAGGGGGGATGCATAAGGGAGTGCTACAAGAATGGGGAGAAATATCTGAATCCTTAAGGAGACTTGCTCACTGCAGCAGACAAACTACAGGAAGCCCTGAAGCTACAATCAGAAGGAAGAAGGAAGTTTTAAAAAAGAAAATATGTAATAGAAAAATGATGCTTAATGAAGTTATCTTTGTAATAAATACTTATGAGTCCACAAGCAGAGTGCTGACCTGTACAAAAGTGTACTGCAGCTCTTCACACGCCATCTAAAATTTGATAATTTTAGAAAACAAACAGATACTAAGAAACACTAAGAGCGAGCAATGACACAAGTATATGAAATTCTGCTAGCTGTTTGTGGTTCCTTCTGCTCTGTGCTTTAAAAATCGTTAAGTGTCATCTGCAGACTTGAAACACCAGATTCAATGCGGTGTTTAAGGTGCAGTGGGCACATAAGATTAACAGTAGGAAGGCCGGTTCTTCCTCAAAAGTTTTAGCCTTGATAGCAAATGCAGATCATTCAAATTCAGGAATAACATCAGTTCAAGTCAGTCAGGCTGTGATGGCAAAATGATTTTAAGAAGTCAGTACATCCAGACTGCTTCAGAGGCACCCAGAACAGTCTCAGTTAAACTTCTTTTTGGCCTTTGAAAAGCTTGGTTTTTTTTCAGCTAATAGAATTATTAAAACACATTTGCTTAGTGTACTCATTTACAGACTATACTGATACCTTATTGATTGTATGCTGCAGTTATTCCATCCCACTGTTAATACTGGCGCACCAGAAAAGAAAAGAGAAGTCTAGGCTACACTGATTGCACTTCCATTTTTCAAAAACTGGGAGAGTTAAAACTGTTATTTAAAAGCACTAGAAGATAGCATCAGAAACTCAACGTAATGACTAATTGCAACATCACATAGATGTTCAGCAAGAGTTTACACTTCAGAAGAACAGATCATGCCATTTAGTCATGGATGTCATACGTGAAACAATGTTGACCTTACTGAGAGGATTACATACATGTAACTGCTGAAGTATTTTTTGCAGGGCTTCTCCTAGTGGACAGGACTTGGCTAGACTGCTTTAGAAAGGAAGGCAACAACAACCTCATCCATCTATAAGACTTTTTGGCATTCTGCTTCTTGAAACAGCAAAGAAATTCAGTAGGGAAGCCATAGACCACTGAATGTAGAATTTACATACAGTTGAATCTATTGGCAGAGCTGAATATCCATGCAGTTTGTTCTGTGCTGTTGCACATCTTCATATTATAGCTATTTTAAAACAAAGGCTTTTCACTTCTCACTGGAACACTCCGGAATGAGCATTTACTGATTCATTTATTTCCTAATGATATATTATAGTGTATGTTCCTAGCTCAGGTCCTGCAGATACCAGTAGCTATTTTCTTTCCTTAGTGACACTGACCAAGAAGGAGACTTACCTATGAGCTTCATGAATTTCAAGATTTCTGTCACGTGCCATTCACCAAGTCTGCGGACACACTTGCGCACAATCCCACCACACCATGCTGTGGTTAGAGAATGATCCAACAGAGCTTCCTAGATCTCCACATCATTACTCATAAAATGATTCATTTTTTTTTTCCAATTGCTAGATTGTGAATGTTCCCCATTCTGTCCAACCATATTATTTAATATTTAATTTTAATGAAGTGCTATATCTTCCAGAAGCCTGCAGGTTTCCATTACCAATTTCCTTACAACTTCAATATCTTCTTCACTGTCAGTTCTTCCTACCAGCTGCCTGTAAATTACATTTATACAGCAGAGGCCAAATTCACTGCTGTAAAAGTGAAATTAGACCATATACTTTTCATTCTAATTTTTAAGTCACACAACACAGAGGAATCCGTTCCAATGAAATCTCATTACTTCACTCAGCATTCAAATGTACTGACACTTTCTGCAACAAGTTTCTGGACCTTCCCTGCAAACTCATCTCTTCATAAACGTAATATTTTAAATCATGATCATTAGTTGCCAATTGCATAATTAAAAACACTACAGAAAGAATAAAATTAAGATCATGTATGGAGAACAGAAAGAAGGCTAACACTTTCATGATATCCTTACTGTAGGGAAGATACTTAGTACTTTACCCAATGAAAACAGCACCTGCTGGAATGCATAGAGTATGTACAGATTATATATATTTTAATCTTTCTAATGCAAATCATGATTATATTTTTTCTTGTTTAGATTCAGTCACGTATTATTTTTCCTGTTTCTAGTCCTCAAACTACAGGCTCTCAACTGGTTTACTGAATTTCTTTAACCTTGCTCAAATAGTCCTCCATCTACAACAAGCATCCACCATTTACAGATATTACATAAAGAAACATCCATACCTTTCAAAAATAGTTTGGCTGAAACATGTCAGTTCTTTTCCTGAAATTCCAGCTAGATTTTTCTTGAAGAATTCTAGATACAGATATAGTTTGTGTATACAATATCCAAATACTAAATATGTAAATGAAATCAATCCTGATAGAATTTTCCCACTCCAAATTTATTATATGGATTCCAAAGTTTTGCACTAAGTCAGTATACAGGATTGCTATAACTAAAACATCTTAATTGTCTGTTATGAAACAATCATAGTGGAAAAAAAGAGAAATTTTAAATGACCCAAACTGCAAAAGGTCTATTCAGCTATTTTTATAGCTGAAGTATTTTAACAGTATTAAGATTTATTTTAATGTTGAAGCAAAGAGATGAAAACATGAGAAATTATTCCATTAAGGCAATTTCCTGCAATATAATTCAGCTCCATAAAAACACTACGTGATTACAGTTTTGAAGCTTGAAACTTGTATTTATTCATAAGACACATAGTATAGTTAGGAAAGATGTAATGGCAGCACATTACTTTTGACAACAATAAGGGACTATAGTAAAGCATTTGGTACAATGCACTAAACTTTACTACAAATAGGCCTACTGACAGAACACAAGGACGAAGATAAAGGGTAGAACAGCAAGTTGCAAGGGCACAAGAGGATAGAAATTAATGTGTTACGAAGATGAACTGCAAGCTTTTTGCTTAATTCAGTGCTCAAACCAGCACACGCACTGCTGTAGAAACTAAAATCTACTGGGATGGAAAAATTTCCTAAGCATTATGGGGTGCTTGAGAAAGTATATTGACTATAAAAAAAATGGTCAAAGATATCCAGTTTGTCTTTTCAACTTTTAATGACTGTTTAGACATGCTTTTAATTAGAGAAACAAGGTAAATGAAAGTAGTAAAAATAATTGTAAATGTCTAGTGTAATGTTGACAGACATCAGCATCCCTGAAGGCACAGGAAGCACCTTTTGCTTAGGAAAACTATTCCATGACTTTAACATAAAGTCAGAGCTATAATAAAGCATAACATACAGGAGTGGTCAGGAAAAGTTACAGTTAGCAAGAGACTAACAGATTAGTCTAATTTGGTCTAATGACTACAACACTGTTCAGAGAAATACAGGAGCCGGGTACTGTTTCCACCTGATACTTGGGCTGTGTCCTTCAGAAAATTGAGACAAAGGTGAAGAAATCATAACAACAACCGAAAAAAGTATGTCAGCCTTCCTCTCATTAAAGAAAAGCAAATGATTGACTTACGGTGTCTTAAGGAAAACAGAGGACTAAAGTTACGTACCTAATATTAAAATCAGACACCAAGAATCTTATGCAGGTGACTATAGCCTGAAACAGGCTGATTGGAGTAATTTATCTCAGAGGTATGGAGTAAGCCATTGCTTAACAAAAGGTACAGGAAAAGTTGAATATAAGTAAACATACTTGCATTTGGGCCAAAATAGCTAAAAAGTATTTTCCTATTTTGACACTGATCACGAGCTTTTTCCCGCTATGAATCAACAATTTCAGATTGATGCAACTTTTCATAGTAAGCAAACTACTAGAAATTTTACTTTAAATATTGATCAAGGCACAAAGTTCACTTGGCAAACAACTATAGTTTACATCCAAAGGATTTCCCCAAGAGCTGGCAGAATTGGCAAATCTGTCTTTCACTAGCAAAACAAAGTCAAGCCAAGTACATGGATGTATTAATTCAGTACTAGTTACATCATAACCAAGAATCCTTTTTAGATAGGCTCAAGATGCAGAGAGTAATGCACTAGGATAATTAAAGGTTTAGTTCTTGTTTACTTTTTATCTATAGGATAACAACTTCTCCACAACACAAAGTGCAGAAAACAAGTTCATGAAAGGCACAAGGATTTACTGAACATACTGACTCTGACAGTTACTGGATGAATACTGATACTTGCGCTTCTCTAAGTAATATGGAATCCACACAGTATGTATAAACACAGAAAGTAACAGAACGCTAAAATCTTTTTACTAGTCTGAAGTGCTATCTTTCAATTACATACCGAATGGGTTAAGATACTCATGTTGGATATGAAGTTTTAAGATTAAGGCCTGTAATGAGAGAAAATTACAGTACAAAGTTGGCTTTTGAAAGTCACTGTAGAATAAGGATACAGCCAGTAAAACTTATCTAGAAGCAAGGATGCTTATTTTGACTTAAGCTTTTGGCTAAAGCTGAGATGCTAGAAGAATGTCAGTTTACTCCCCAAAACTATAATCGCAGACAGATTTGTATATATAAAAAAGGAGGATAGGATCTTACTAATTATAATTGTTCCTTATGCTCTGGCAAAACAGCACTTCTTGCAGTTTGACATAGATAGAAGAGATCAAATCCCACCATTTTCAAACTGATTTAATCTCTTATTTCCTGAAACTATACGTACTTTATTTTACAGCAAACAGCAACTGAAGTTGTTTAAGTATGCCTTGTCCCAAAAGCAAATTCACAGACCCAACTATGAGGATAGCTTGATGCCTATCCACACTTGAAAAGCAACTGTGCCTATTCACAAGCTGGACAGTTCTGTTAAAAACATAGTGGAAGGAGCAGCAGTAACCTAGTAGCCATGATATTATAAATGACAACTATTAACTACTGAAAAACTGAGGTAACCATGCAGTTCAATACTAGCATCAGTAAAGTAGTTTCCTTAGGAGGAAAGAGGACTAAGTGGCATGTCAAAGTCCACCAGATGCCACACAAGCAGTAATTAAGTTTCACTACCAACATCTTTTGGATGCACTTGGCTCAAGACTGGACTAAACCAGCTGTACAGCATATATTAGCCAAGAAGAAAACGCAAATGCAGAGTGGACCAATACCTGTGCAATACTTCTGCTCCACTAGCTGCCTATTATTTTCAAATAACCGTTCAAATGGTTGGTTTCAGCTTGAAAGCCCTAAACCTTTCTTGTCTACTGAAAGAAATTACATCCTTTCCTGAACCTTATTGCTAAAGTTGTGATGACGCAAACTCCACCTTAGTTAAAAAAGGGCAGTAAAAGGCATGACTTTCAAACTCTGGATTACAATTTTTAAAGAACATGTTCCATACCATATGATAGGCCACTGACAAAAGTGCATGACTACAAAGCCCAAGTCTTCCAACACAACCGAAAAACAAAACAAAACAAAATAAAAAAACAAACAAAAAAAAGTTCTCAAATGGTTACAACAGGAAGTACTCCAGTGGAGAAAGTCATGAAGTTATAGACATTACATAAGCATAATTCACAAACACTTCATATTGACTTTTGAGTTTGTAACATCACTGGCAACAGCTAAAATGAAACTGTATAACAAAAATCATGGAAATACACCTGTTAACTAGAACCATCTTTACCTGTATGCATTTTTTGAAACTGGTCGAGGGTCAAATTTGAATAGAAGGATGCACATTGAGGGATTGCTAGTTAATTCTTGCTTCTTCCAGAAAAGCTCAGTGCAAGGGCATTCTGTAATAGCCTGCAAATAAGATAAAGATTATAAATTATGTTGCAAACTATAAAAAACTTTGCTGCTATGCTGAAGCTTAAAGATTAAAATGTTCTCCTTAATAGCTTTCAATATTAAAAAAGGGACTTAACTAAACATGCTTCCATGAACAATTTTCCACAAAACATTCTTACTCCTGCTGTTTCAACGTGATGTTTGGATAATTCACTATTTTAGGAAAGAAACAAGTATCAGGAAAACAAAGAGAAAAATGAGAGCACTAACAATATGTGAAAGACTTATGTAATTTTTTTCCTCATTACCAATAAAGTACAACTACTTTTTTCCTGCCTTAAATAAGGCAAAAGATTTTTGTTAGAATACCAAAGAAAAGGCCTCAAACTGTTCACAGAAGCTGAAAAAACTGTAATCACAACAACATCATGGAACGTACCTCCAAGCCTGTAAATAAAAAATACTTTAGATCAAGCTACTACTAGAATCCAGGAGAAAGTATAATTAACATCAGCAAAAATATCAGATACAAAAATAAACAGGACCGGAGTGCACATTTCAATGATCAGTCTCCAGCACTTGCACTTTATTTACAATTCTGGCCACATTCAGATGGTATGATAAATGTTCTTTCTAGTTTAAAGCCACGTTAAGGCTTTCAAATATTTTGTGCTGCTCTAATGAAAATTTGCCTAATAAAACTGCAGCTTGATCTTTACTTTTTGCCCCTGCTGAAACAATCAGAACATTATCAATCAACCATGGATAAACACATTTCACTGCTACAGAAAGCTATTTCCATGCAAAAGTTTTCAGGGAAGGAAAAAAAGGGGGGGTAGGAGGATGGTGAAATTTAGTACCACAGCTCTGAGACCACCTGAGCAATCCAGTGACTAAAGTAAGTTTTGTTCAAAAAGTAGGATTTTTACATATCCATGCTTTAAAAGCCTGAGGGTTTTTTTTTTTTTTTTTTTTAAACAAAAGAGACAGCAGGATCCTGGCTATACATCACACTACCAGAAGTAGAGCATTTATACAGATTTTAATTAACAGCCTGCCAGTAGCTACTGGCTCCTGTTGAAGTCACAGTTCAGCATTACAACTCGCTTGCTGTCACAGCACAGATTCAGTCTTCCAATCACCAGCACTCTGCAAAGAGACTCTCCTCTGGTGCAACCAGCAACATAGGAGAAGCAACACTCCTGACATGCTTGCGCTAACTGCCTTTTGCCTTGACAAGTGTGCGCGTGCACACGTACGTGTGCATAAAACAAAGTATTTTAATTTCTGTTCTGTGGCAAAAGGAATTCCCTTCTCAAGATATAACTTAAGAGTCTAGCAGATAAGAACAGCAACAGCTTATAGCTATCCAAATGATTGTCTGTTTAACAAGTGACACAAGGCATTGGGGAAACAGAATTTAGACACAATAGGCTTTCTTCCCTGCTACAAAGTCACTCCGAAATAACAGGTTTAGAGATGGATCATAAATTGAAAATACAGACTTGATTTTTAGATAACTGATTTAGTAGGCAGGTGTTTAAAAAGATGCATAGACAGCTACTTTATTTAGAACATCATGTCCATCTTAAGAAAGCATCATGATCCTCAGACTCCTACTGAGGAATTCTCACATCATACCAGATCCATACAATCAAGCTACCAGCGTCAGAAAACTTGGATCCTCTACATACAGGTCTTGCTACTGTTTCACAAAACACAGGCTCTTGTATCCTAGCTGCCTTATGTTGCTAAGCATAAGCACTAATCTGTTCCCTCCTTTCACCCCAACTCTTAAAAAGAGCCTGAAGTCAAACAAAGCAACATCCCCCCTCCAAATTACTGTGCACATATTTCCTAGAGCAATAGCTAGCTTAAACTGTAAAGTACAGTGCCATTTCCAGAGAATTTAACTGAAGTATAACACAACTGTAAATAGTTCTGAAACCTTTTATACTCACTTTTTACTTTAAGCTTCTGAGGCCATCTAGACATCCAAGCAATTCCTATACACCATACCCTACCTCAGTTTCTTTATTCAGGATAGCATTCCTTTTGCTGCTTAAATCCATTTTGGTATCTCTTTCTATTCATTTGTCCCTTGGAGTATTACATAGATCTCTGTTCTGTGTCAGCTACCTTTCTTTTAATCTTGGCTCATCTCAGTTCAGAATCTTCTTGCCTTTCCTTATGTCCTTCCTTCACCAAACTGCTCCGCCTCTAGACACTTGCTTTGACCCTTGGACATTTATTTTTGTTTGGTAACTTTTCTGGCCCCAAGAAGAACACTGAGGATGGGTTTCTTCAGGTTCTTCTACATGCTTATCGTACAGCCACAGTCATGAAAGTTATTTGCTTTTATTCCTTCTACATCATCTTCTAGACAGGTCCCTATCACACACTTGCTATTCCAACAGTCCAACAGATAAATCACACATTGGGTAACTGTATGAACCTGTAGCATCACTAAGTATGGCAGATTTTCAGTTAAGAGATCAGACTCCCAAATAAACTTCACAGGGCTGTACAGTCCTGCTTAATACAATAAGCCTCCACCAAGGTTGGGACAAATAAGTCACTCTTCCTCCCCGAGTTATGAAAACCTCTCAAAATGGCTATTGTTTACATAATTTATTGCACAATCCATAAACGCCAAACAGGAGAATTCTCTGCAAGAAAGGAATCTTTTTGCTTAAGTCATTACTGACTGGAGACTATGTTAGGATAGAAGACACCTTTCAACTCACCAGAAATTACAGTTAGAGCACTGCAATAAACATCAAGTTAAGAAAAAAAAGATTTATTTTAGCTGACTGATTGCTATCTGATTGCTATGGTTCTGTTCTTCAAGCTTTCCTCTCAGACAGCTCCATAGCTAAATTGAATTGACACTCCGTCCTTGACAGGACCTTGGCTGAACATAAAATTAGGAGGGGGAGGTGTGTCAGTGAACATTGTCCAGCATCCTGCTCAACACTGGGCAAAAAACCCTCCTTCCTTTCTCAGCTTCCAAGGCAGAAGGGAACATTCTGTGGAGAGAGATGCTTCGATGACCATTTTTCTTTTTTCCTTTCCCCTTACAACCCCCCCCATTCATCAAGGACAAAAAGGCTCCAGGCTGGTCACGTAAGCCATATTGTATGGATACAGTAAGTTGCTCTGTCAGAAGAGAAAAGAACGAACTTTCTGTTAACAAGAGCCACATTTAACATTTAAGAAAGTTAAATCTGATAACAGCATTTCAAAGATGCACTTGTTTCATGTTAGTCACACCTTTCGAACATGCAAATGGTACAACACATTATGGCATCTGCTACTGTCAGTTCCAATTCTACCAAAAATCAAATTTATCATACTCTAGGATGTTTGAATTTAATCAGATTTCAATTTTAGAGTTCCATATCCTTGTTTCATCTATCTTTTCCTTTCCTCCCAACCTGCAGTCTACAGGAGACATTAACTTTTCATCTTCAGAAAGCTACCATAACCAAGCATTTGCTAATGATTTACCTAAAACATGCATGATTCCAAAAGGATTAGAATCAATAATGGAAAATTCGTAGCTAAAGAACAGCAGCAGCACAAAAACGATCCTAAACATGGCTCTGAGAAACCATACTGCAAAATCTTCCATGGGAGCCTATGGAAAATGGACAAGTGTGTTTGCTAAAAATAAAGGACAAATGATCTCAATGAACAGCTTTAACAGGTCTTTAAGTGTACCAAGAAGCTTTCCAAAAAAATCCTAGATTGATCAGTCTCTTGTCAGTTTGTTGAATAACCTGGTATAAAAATGAGATATTAACTTACTATTCAGCTTACTAAGCAGTTCCAATTTAATTACAGCTTTGTGTGTCCTTCAGCAAGTAAAAGGCTTTATGGCTTCTATTATTAAGGCTACATAACTGGCTTCCCATCAGAAATGAACTTATGTCCCTAAAGTTAAATAAAACGCATTAACAAGTCAGTTCATGGAGCAAGCAATACACTAGAAGAATAGCGTACACTATTACACTAGAAATCAGTTTGGTCCCTGGCTCCAGGCTGATAGAAACATGATAGCTTCGTTCTTCTTCCCATTTCCCCAATATGAGCATCAAGATTTATATTTATCAATATTAAACTATGCCAGACTATTTCAGAAACAATATTTATATCTATAAGAGATCCCCTTCAAATCTATATCTGCTGCCTATAAGCAGCACTAACACAAATATGGTAGGTGATCCTTAAAACTTCCTACAAAGGGCAAAGAAGCCCACATGATGAAGGGATATAAAACACAACTTTAATGGGCAACTGTCACTGAGTGCTCTTGCTGGCTATGGAAATAAGGCTCCCAGTTTTCATTAGGTGTCCTGCCAGATAATTAAATGGATTACTCCATCAAAACCTGTTGACAATTAACTGCTCATAACTTCAAGACTGTCCTGTTAATAAAGAGGTTTCTGGCTCTGTGAGCTGATTTACCAAGGTCCCTTCAAAGAGTCAATTCAGTACAGCTGTTTGTGCAAAGCTACTGGCCAACATACAGCTCACAGAAAACAGCTGACCAAAAAACTTCAGTATTAAGCAGCAGTTGAACAGTTTTGTAACACCTGTTGCAATTATCTAGAAAGACAAATATCTCCAACACTTTGCCTTTCTAGTATCCACATTTATTACTAATGTGTACTACTGCTTTGAGAGAAATACCTTCCTGTCACCCTGTCAACTCTGCTTGATATTAATAAGCTCTTAAATTGCATTTGTACCTTTAGTGAGTATTGTTTCAAATATCAAGACTATATTATTTATCTTGGGCTCCACCTGCTGGCCTTGAAATATGCATAAACATTTGTAGGTCCTATGCAAAAATAAGAATTTGTTACTCTAACAGCTACAAGCTGTAAAACCAGCTGAAATGCACAGCTACTCCTCAACACAGTGCTGATACTTCACTTGAAGGCAGCAACCAATGCAATCCATTACTTTCTTTGATCAAAGCAGACACTGCATTTGCAACATGTTGAGCT